ACTATTTTTCAATCCATCAAAAGCCGAGAATATAGGTGGATGCTCAAAGAAAAATAATAGACAAATCAACAAGAGGTAAACGTGGCAACATCAACTTTCCCTATGAACACGAAACAAAGTAAATTAAAACTATCATTAACAACTAAACATATATGGACGTAAAACACTAAAAATAGGATATAAAGTTCATGCCAAGAAAAAAGAAGAAAAGAACAATGCATGCAACATGTTAATGCATAAAAACAAAACCAAAAGAGGAAAATAAAAGCATGCAATAAAAAAAAAAAACAAAGTTTCAACCAAAAAAAATCTTTGCTGCAAGACCTTTCAGTCTTTTTTTTTTTTTTGCTTTGTTGTTGCCTCTTTACTTTTTGTTACTGCATAAATTTTTGACTACTGCTCACTGTTTAAAATTGTTTGGTGCACCTAGTTTTTTTTTTCTGTGACTTTCTACTTGTGTTTTGCTCACTAATTTTTTTTACTACCATCGATTTAGCTTGTAACTTTCCTTTTTTGCCTTTTTCATCTACCCTTCCTCCTTTATTCTTTTATTTTTCCCCGTTACCTGAACTTTGCTTCATGCTTACTACTATTGATTTTTTTTTCTTATGTTCTTCTTACTGTTCACATTAAGTTTTTTTCATTTTTCTTAAAATCCCATGTCTAGTTTTTTTTTTTTTTTGCTACTCATATTGTTCGAAAGGCTTTTTACAAAAACCTCTCCATGTTTGCTCCTCTTCATTTCATTTTTGTTACTTCTTCTCTTTCTTTTTTGGTTACACATTCCAATCCCCATTTTTCTGTTTTACCACTTTTTTTTGTTCCCCTTCTTTTCATATCTCTTTAATGCCTTTAATACATTATTTCCTCCATCTTTTTTACTTTACTTTTTGTTTTGTTTCCCTCTTTAGTTTATGGGCCTTCCTTTTTCTCTATTGAATACCCCTAAAGTCTTCACTTTTACTGCCACTAGTTCACACCTCTCTCCACTTTTTTTTTTCGTTCTGTTAAGCCAATCTTCATTCTCTTTTAATCGATCACTAACTATAGCTTTTCTTTGCTTTCTTCCCATAAAAATGCCCCACATTGGCCGCCCAGCTCTCATGCAATTTTTCATTGTTTACTAGGCTTGTTTCTTCACATGTAGCTTTTTATTCTATGCACTTATTTTGCATGAGTTTTTCCTATTCTTTTCACATGATTTTCATGCACCATAAGGCTTTTTCTCTTCTTTCATGAACCTAACCCTTTAAATAAGGCCAAACAGGCCTTTAACTATGTTTGATTGTGGGATTTCATTGTATTTTCCTTAGATCCTATTTTTGGGTTTTAAGGCTTTCAATTTTTTTGCTTATTTATTTTATCTTCATTCTGACTATCATAATCTTATTTTGAGCTAAGCCTTTTTTTAATAATAATAATATATATTATTATTATTATTATTATTATTATTCAATTTCAATTTTGATTTTTTTGTTTGGTTTGATGGCAACAATGGACCATTATTGGGCTTTAAAAAGATATCTTTTATCAAGGCCTATATCGAATAATTTAAAATGGATTGTGCAATGAGCTTAAAAAAGATAATCGAGACCTAATTACCAAAACAAGCTTTGATTTAAAGAAGAAAATATCTTGAACAAAATTAGGTGTTTACAATTTAAAATCAATGTCAAAAATTCCAAAAATTAGGATATTATTTATAATTGTAAAACCATTTGCCTTATTACTCATGAAATCACTTTTGCCCCAGCATTAGTGTTTTTTTTTTTTTTTTGCTCATTATTTTTGAATGATATCAACGTTGAAGACTTACTAGTTAAACAAAAAAAAAGGAAAAAAAAATATCAATGCCTAAAACTTAAAATTTAATTGGTTGAGAGATAACAGCTTATAACTTTTTTTATTGGTGCTTGGTTTTGATAGCTTATTGTTGGTTGGCGTCGAGATAGTTAGATCCTGAGAAACATCCATTATTGATTACATGTGGAATCCATTATTGATTACATGTGGAACTGGAGCACACCTAATCCAATGATTTTCTTCGTTGTTTAATTAAAATAATAGAATATGTAGACAATTTGTTTATTCTAGAATAAACGAATTCTTGAGAAACATCCATTGTTGACTGCTTGGCCTTTAAGAAGAATAGCAAGAATCTTATATTGATGATTTATTGAAAAGAGAAATAAAATAGAAATATTAGGCATGGAGAAAAGAAGTAAAGAAAGAAAAGTGTTTGGGTTTGTGCTTTTTTCTTTCTCATTCAGTTTTTCTTTTTGTTTTTGATAAAAGTTTTTGTCTCTTTTGGTTGTTTAATTGAATGTGAGTTTTTTTTCTTTGGTTTTCTTCAAGTAGTTTACATTGTACAAGGTTCAATTTGGATTTATGGAGCTTAATTATTGAGTGGGTTTTTAGTTTTTATTTTTTTAGATTTTTATTTCTTATTAGAGAATATTTTCTCAATGTTATTTTTTTTTTTGTTTATTTGTTTAAATTGTTTCTTCTAGGGTTTGCATGTTTTTTAATTCTCATTTAAAGTGATGTAAAAGTAGTATTATTTGGGATTGGGTTGCATGGATGGTGATTGAAATAGGATTTCTTTGTAGATTAGTTTTTGTTGTATATTTGATTTTTTTTTACAGCGATTGTTCAGTGCTGTTTTATGATTGAGTTCAAGGTGAATGAATGATTTTTTTATTGTCTTTTTGTGTCTTTAAGTTGAATGGAATTTTACTTCACTGCATGTAATGTGGTGATAGTTGTTTGAGTTGTTTTTGGTTCAACTTGAATGTTAGTTCGGTTTGACTTTTGTCTATATGTTGGTTGAAGGTATAGTTTGTAGGAATCAAAAGCTTGGACCTTTCACGCAAGTCCTTTTGATAAGTAGCCACTATTAAATGAAGGAACTTCTTTTACTATGTCATTCTTGGATCTAGGTTTTTTTTTTTTTTTTTATGCTCGAAATTTTTTCTACTTTTTATTTGGGATTGGGTTGTATGGATAATGATAGGAATAGAATTTCTTTATGGATTGGTTTCTGTTTTTTATTTGATTGTTTTTTTTTTTTTGGACAAGGATTGTTCGGTGCTATTTTGTGATTGAGTTCAAGGTGAGTGGATGGTTTTTTTTTTTTTTTTTTATTGTTTGTTTGTGTCTTTAAGTTGAATGGGATTTTATTTTGTTACATTTAATGTGATGATACTTGTTTGAGTTGTTTTTGTCTTTTACTTCAATGCTAGTTCGGTTTGAGTTTTGTGTATATATTGGTTGAAGGTATAGTTTGCAGGCATCCAAAGCTTGGACCTTTCACACAAGCCCTTCCAATATGTAACTGACTGTTGAATTAAGGTTACTTCTTTTACTTTGTCGCTCTTAGATCCAGATTTTTTTTTCCTAGGAATTTTGCTGCTTTTTAATTAACCATGTTAGATCAACCTGATTATTACGATCTTTGCTTGATCATATACTTGATCCAAAATTTTTTAGTTTGCTATGTGTTCCAATGCTGAAACACGACAACTCCCATCACACCATTGTGTTTTGGATACTGCCTCAATACTAAAATTAGTTGTTTACGACAAAGTCACTCAATGATCGTTATTGTTTTTATTAAATGGGCTTAAAATACTATCATCTTAAGCTGGCACACATTCCTGAGTATTAAGAATTCCAACCTTAGGTCTACCAGGGTCATGGTATGGTTTTTTTTCTTCCTTTTGATTCAAAGTGCCATGCATTTGACAAAAATGAATTTTAAGAGATTCTTAAGTTTTGGACTCTAAAGCTTATTGCGATTCAAGTTTTACTGATATCTTGAGGAGAATGTTTGTCCATAGAAAAGCTAGGGTAAAAAAGGAGTAGCAATGTAAGTAGAGATTGAGTTAATGCAGGTACAAGTGCCACAAAAGAAAAAAACTACAAGACAATTACTCTGCTAAATTTGAATTTCAGAAAATCTTCTGATGTTTAATCTACTTGCAAGAATGTTAAGCTAATTATCTTGATTAGTTTGGACTAGAAATGATTTTCTAAAGTCTTACACATTCATTGTTTAGCATCAAACAGAAGTTTATATATTTTTCCAGCTAGCTAACCTTCCTACAACTAACATTAGCATTCTAAATGCATTTTTTTCGTTTTATTCTTTCCATATTTTAGTATATTTTAGGTTCTAAGGTTTTTTTTTTTTTTTCTAAGTCTTGCCTTAGAATGGTTAACAAGGGAGATCTGTTTTATTTTACTTGTGATCAATGTCCTATTCGTACTTTGCAACCTTCATTATCCACTGTGTTCATTTTATGTTTCTCTGATTTGGTTTTAGATGCTATACTCCTTTCACTCATTGATATGTTTTCATAACTCTATCCATTTCTCATATATAATGTTCTTCATATGCAGGGATATTTCGGGTCTCGGGAATGATGCCTAACTAAGGATTCGGTGACTTTGATCGAATCTGGCATAGAAGCCCCAGTCGCATATCTTCTTCAAACCTTATGTCAAATGTTTTTGGTACAGGATTAGGCGGCTGGAATAGTATTCATCAAGAGGTAACTATTTTTTAAATTTTCATTTTAGCACTATCAAGTAGTAAACGTTTAATTATACTTTCTTTTTAGCAGTAGTTCTTTTTGGTAATTTTGTAGTTAGAAAATATCGCTTTACATTTTCTACTTAGTTTTACAATTTCTTTAAGAAAGCTTTCTCTTTGCCTCTTCAACTTTACCATCCAACTCTTGGAAAATGACCGATTAACAATATTAATTTTATCTTTTCAAACAAATAATAATTTAATAAAATACTAAAAATTATTATAATAGACTAGGCGAAGCAGGCACTCAACACTAGTACTTATAATTTTGCACAGACAATCCGTTGAGAAAAGGCTGTAACTGATAATATTGTTATTGAAATATATAAACAAAGAGTCTACTAGTGCGGCAGTCTCTCATGTATTTATATTAAAACGTTAAGTAGCACAAATGATTAACATTAACCCAAAATCTTAACCCTCCTCAAGCTGGAGATAATATTTATTTATCTATATATAATTTTTTTTAAAATTTTATTTATTATATTATAATTTATATATTACATTCAATTCATTAGTACATCTATTCTTCGTATTTCCTTGTTTACTTTAGCTTGATCATTTTCTCCTGTCCTTTCATACTACAGCAACAGCAAGTAAACGAGTTAAGTCAGGATAACTTTACTATGTACAGAACCATCTTCCATCCTTATCCATGACTCTACAGAGAAGGGATCCTCATTGATTTCCAGGATTCTAGACCCTCTGGGCCAGTTTCCATAACCACCATAACCAGTATGTCTAGCAAAGCACAGCCAAACTTTCCTGTATGGGCAGCACCAGTCCAATCCATGGTTATGCCCAACAAACACTGCCTGCCACCATTCACAAACAAATAAGTTAACAGCAATCCTTTACATCCATCAAAGCTAATTACATCATGTCCGAATTTGAGGAATACTACTACAAATGTCAAGGCACTATATGACCAATTACCGGGTGTCTTACTGAAATTATTGAAGCTTCCTTTCATTGAGCTCTCTCGACACTTCAAAATAAAAATTCAAAGTTAAAACCTCCATACCTGCATTCTTAAACTTACACATCATAATTGTGCTGAAGTAATTGGTTCATATCATACTCTTTTAGCAATGGCTTTAGTAATCCTATATATGGAGGTTTCTCCTAACAAAACTAGATTAAAGTCAATCTAATAAGGTATTGTCATACAAGGACAAATGATTTGGACATGGCATGCAGGGGAAAGATCGAAGATCTAAGGCTCCATGTATACATACAGTTGAACTCTGAATCTACTTTACACACTCAAAAGTCAAATCCCAACTAAGATAGTAGGAACAAATTCATTTATTTTCCAAGTATTATCAGCAACCGTCAGCTCGTGTCAAAATGGAAAAGGCATGGAAATAGATGAAATCTCAAGAAGAAGGTTTTCCTCAACAGCTATAGAAGCAATCAAAAAGCCCACTGGTTTAAATCTAAGGGGGTAGCAATCATTCAAAAAGAACAAGCCTAAGGGAAAGCATAAATAGCATTTGTACATGAGTTATAACATGTATATTAGTTTATGGCTGTAAACAGGAGTAATTAACTCTTTGCATGCATATAAGTGACATAGGTGTGTGTGTGTGTGGGTATGTACAAAAAAGAAGCATGCTTATCCATGAAATCACCTTGATGGAAGGCCTTTCAACAAGAATCTTCATGATACCCATTTCAGCTTCTTGAGCAGCAACCTTTTCCTTGTTGATGGAACCTACACAAGGCTGGCGTATTCTAAAAATAGGAGCCACCTTCTTATAAGCTTTACTTGGTATGTGCCAGAAGATTAGTTCCGGGACCCTGTCAAATAACATTCCTTTCATTGACACAAACACAGAGGAAATAAAATTTTGAGACAGAGTAATAAAGACATAAAAAATCAAAGTAAACTCATTTGGAATACAATCACGTTGACACAGTTGAAATGTTTTCTTTTCCTCTAAGACCAAACATCAAGATACCAATATGTAGAATTATTCATCCATTCCCCTTACATTTTGTCACCTTGCTATCTAACCTAACATATAAATGAAAAACTAGTTAGAATTTCGAGTTTTGTTTTAGGAAACCTATCCAAAAAAACAAGTAAAATTGTTCAAAGGAAACCATACAACCATTCTTCTACCTTGAATCGGGATTAATTTCTTCAGATAAGCGCTTAAACCATTCTACTTGGGCACTTGATATAACTTCTGGATAGGTACCTCCACCAGAATCTAGAAAGTAGAGATACACTAAAGGCGTTTGTGGTGTCTCTACTGACAAGACTTGGAGTACATAGTTGGATATACCTGGCCAAAGATCTTTAGGCCCGTTTCTAGAAAATGATAACAAATTATTGTCCATCTCATTTTTCATCAGCGCCAATCGTGATGTTCCCCTAAAACTACATTCTAGTTCACCTGACAAGCAAATTTTGAACTCAGTTAAACAAAAGCTAACAGTTATATGATCAGTTATATGATAAAGCAAAAAAAAGGCATATTGTAACAACAGTGTTAATTTTGCAAATCAGACAGGTAAAGAAATCACATAAGCATTAAATGCCGTGTGATTCAAAAGAATTTTGACCTCAATGTTGCAAATGATTAAACAGAACAGTATTTGGAATTTATCAACTATATTCCACTACCTAGTTTCAGATCTTATCATCAGACATACTACCACTCAAGTTGAAGATCTCGGCAGTAACCGGTATTGAAGATCCAAGTGAAATCCTATGCTTTTAACGTTTCAATCAAGTATCACAATAATGTACTTTGCTGTAATATTTTATTGTTTATATTTAACATCCAAATTAATATTTAGTTTGATAACTAAAATTCATTCACCAGACAGCATGAAGAAGTGTCTACAGTTAAAAGAAGCAAACATCTTAAATAGTGAGAATATAACCATAGTCCTGGATAACACATAATTGTCTTCTGAAAGCATCCACAGGTTCATCACTTCTTACTTCTTAGCCTACCTAGCATAAATGGCAATCAGTGACTTATTATCATCCACATTTTTTATAATCCTGCTTACCTGAATATGATGAATTGACCACAGGGCAAACAAGCTGAGGAATTCCAGGGGCTGAAAACCACTCAATTGGCCACACAAATGGTGCATCATCATGGTTTCCAAATACACTAGCCCATGGGATGCCCCTGGATCTTGTCGGAGATAGTGCCTGATCCCAATATAAGCTTGCATTTGCAATTGGGATGTTGTTCGCCGTAATAACATCGCCAAGATATACTACAAAATCTGCTATGCATTTTTTGTTCTTAATAATGAATAAATACATAAACAACCAAAGCACGCTATAGTAAGATTAACTATTTAGTTTCATTTAGAGCATAATATTTAAAAAATTGTTCCAGGCTTGTTTAGAGCCCTAGTAAAGCAGGTAGTATAGCATACAGTTATGATCAGATATGAATTGACAAGCATAGATTTTTTTTTTTTGCCCTTAGCTACAGAAAGCAGAAAACAAAAGAAATTATTGAAAATTGTCTTCTTTTTTTTCTTATGGTAGATTTAATTGCACCAAGCTCTTCAAAGTATGGTAATAAGTATTTGGCTGCAGAGCATATAACTCTTTAACACCCTTACATGCCTGCAGTGCCATCTCTTATTAAGTTTGCGAGAGGCAGAACACGAATCCACTTAACCTCAGTGGCACCAATTTTTATTATATGCCTCCTTGTTATATAGTGCATGCCAAGAAATAAAATTTGCTGCCACCAACTCTAAAGTTCTATCAAAGTGTATACATTATACAACTCAACTCATTTAGGTCAATATTCCAATCTGGTTGGATTATCAGTTACATAAATCCTTTTCCTCCATTGCTCTTGCTTTAGTCATTCAAATTGATCACATTAGGCACATTACATGTCCATTTCTAATTAACTTCTTGTTAGATTTAATAAATTGGCCAAGAAAGAAGACATAAGAGTTGGGAAAGTTACATTTGAGGCAGCTTTAAAACATGAGATCTCCCTCCCATTTTGTCTGAATAAAGGGAGACAATGGGAAAAGGTTCTAAAACGCAAGCAACTTGAGAAACATGTACTCCATGTCTAAAAGTCAACCTCTTAAGTGATCTACCAAGTCCAAAAATTTAAGACTTCTCATTAAGAATTAAGATATAGGCAATCTCTCTGCCAAAAGAAAAATGTTTTTTCACTGTTACGGTTATGTATAGCATTTATCAGGCCAACAAGCGAAAAACTCATGAATAAATGTTCTATGCTACCATTGGATAGGATGGCTTCGGGTCCTATGAAAATCTTAGTACCAAGCTGCATTTGTTGGGGAAAGTAAAGATAAGATGAGCTGTGGCTTGGTACCAATGCTGCATTTGTTGGGGAAATTAAAGATAAGATGAGCTGTGGACCAGCTCCGAGGGAGGTCACCCAGTTTTCTGCTCTCTGGGGTAACTGAAGTACCTATGCTCCATTATTTGAGGAAATTAGAACGCTGGTATCTGAAAGTCTAAAGTGCAATGATTAAACAAGCCAAGCCAAGCCAACCCAAGCCAAGTCAACCCAAGCTAGGTCCAGCCTTAGTATTAATTACTTGGTTGTATAGGATGGTCCACACCTGAAGGCTTTTCAGATTTCACGGTGACCCACTTAAACAACTTGTCTGACATTTTTTAATCTTTACATCAGAAACAAAAGGCAACACCTTACCAAGGATGGATGACTACTCATTACCACTCCATATTTAATTTTTTATGGAAATTAAAAAATATTTGGCCTTTAATGTATTTTACATTAAAATTTTAAACTCATTTTCTAAAAAATTGATTCTTCAAGGTTTTCAATGCCAAAAAAAATATATATATATAAAAAATTAAAAGAATTAATTATTCAAATAATGAAAAATATATAATTATGAGAGATTAAAAAATGGATAAAAAAAATTGGATGGAGCAAGTTAAAAAATTAAGGAGTACCTTAAAATTTTGTCATTTTAGCAAAACGCATATATTAGTGTGGATAGAAAAATAATAAAGTGCACCATAAAAAATCGTCTCTTTAGTAAAATAAAAAAAAGTTTGGATAGAACAGAAAATATCATTCTTAAGAATAAATAAAGTTTTACGAAAAATTTACTGCATTGAATTGAAAGTCCATTTTTCTTTTAGCTATCTCAAAATAATGTTCACTTTCTCAAAATGAAAACCGTTTATTCAATATTTGTCCTACATTCATGATTCTTCCTCAAATATAAAAAATATATATTTATTTTAGGTGGGTTTATTATTTTATATATAAACAATGAAGTTTTTAAATTTTATAAATAAAATTTTATTTAATTATTACAAAAATATATTAATCTTTACAAATAACTGCAGAATTTTAATACCATTATGAATTTGATTTTAAATCGACTTTTTAAAAAAGTGTACGGATTAAATTTAATAAAATTGTGGTATTAAAATAATAGAGATCAAATATCGACTTTAATACCATTAACATTAACATTTTATCTAAGACATTAAAATTTTTGGAGCTAATCCTACTAGGATGAAAATTGAATGATAGAGTGAAAAAGTTGAAGGTTGTTGGGAACATTGATAACATCACCTGGAGTTTCAGTGTCCAGCACACTTGACATAACCTTGATAGACCTCACATCCTGTTGCGGGCCCCAATCCGTCCACGCGTTCTCCCCGAAATGCAAGTCGGCAAATAGGGCTATTTTAAACGGTGCACCCGCCCGTATCCGGATATGGTTTTCCGGCGTCGTCTTTCGTTGGACGATCGTCTGAAGGTGTTCTTGATGCGGATGACCGGATGCTCCGACGGCCAAGACGATGGCTTGGAGAAGGAAAGAGATATAAGGAAGGGACAAAATGGTCAAATTAGATAAGGACGGAGCCATATTAATCGGCGACGAGGAGATTGTTAGTTGAACTGTTAATTAGGCATGGAGAGCTTTGGAAATGGCGGCAAAAGCAGTAAGCAATAAACAGATTTTGGGTATACGAGGCGGATATTCCCGTTGGACGGAGGTCGGATATTCCAATTATCAACTGTGTCAAAAGACAGAAATGACCTTCACATCAACCAAACATTTATAAAATTTTATTTTTTAAATTACCATTATAATTATAATGGGCTAAATGCCTAATTTAACATTAAATCTTGTATCATACTAAACCCCTAACTTTTTCCACCGCTTCCTTACTTATTTCAAATACATTTTGTGGGACAAAACATGCGTTGCAATCTACCTGTAAAGAAAGAGAAAATATTTATTTAAATTTATGTGCTTTCATTTAAATTATAAAAAATATTTTTAAATATGCTTTAATAATAAATTTTTAAATTTATGGATTGGTGCGGAGTTATCGTTGCAAAGATCAAGTCCAATAAGAAACAATTCCAGTTTACCTATACCTGTAAATATTTTTAATAAGATTATTATCTTAAATAAAACAATAAGATTTTTTAATTTTAAAATCCAGTTTATATGATTATCACATATTTATTATTAATTAAATCAAGCGATTGAAACATTCTTCCAGTAGAATTTGTATCTTTTAGGTTCTTTTCCTTGGCTTTTCAATTTTCAAAATTTTCATTGTTGTTTTCAATTTTTTTTTTTAAATAGAAAATAAAACTGGTAAGAAACATGCTGAAAGTTTTCGAAATAAAAAAGAAAAAACTTTTATGTTTAATCATGTTTTTGATTAAAAAATAATGTACTAATTGGCATTTAAAAATATATATCAATAAAGTATTGACTTAATTGTAAGGAAAACATTTTAATATTTAAGTTCAAGTTTTACTATGTTTAAGTTTGGTTTAATTATGTTAAATTTATCTAATTAAATTTTAATTTATTGATTAATTTGTTTATTTGATTATATAGTGATGTAATATTTTGAAACAAATTATTTGATATATCTTTAGTTAAATTTTTTAACTCGACAAACGAAATTAACAAAATAACAAATATCTCATTCCATTTTTAAAATTAATTTTTTATATTTTTAAAATATATATTAAGGAGTATACTCTACAGAGATAAAATTTTACTATTAATATGTTTGATAATTTTTTCATACTTAATTATGATGATATTTTTTATATTTGTAACTTCAAACATATTTCTTATATAAATATATAAAAGTTAAAATTTTGGGAAAATAAGAAAATGTTCAATGTAAATAGTTTATAATATTGACAAGTTGACAACCTTTTATCAATCGTGTCTTATATTAATTATATTTATTTATATTTATTTCTTTTTAAATTGATATGAATTGATTTGATTTTATAAAAGTTTTAAAATATTTCAATGCATTAATTATATTTTTCTTACTTTTTCAATTAACTTACCTTTTATTTTTAATAAAATATTCTAAATTATAAATCAAAACTAAATCAATAATACATTATAATCAAAGAGTTTTTTAATGGTTCAAAGAATTAATAAATACAATAATTACGATCATTAAATATTTTTTTAATTATTCAAAGAATTTTTATTGAAATTTAATAAGAAATATTATAAAAAATTTAATAACCATTATAATTATAGGCAATAGTTAATTCCTTAATCAATTATTTTGATGCATTCCTATTTGATTAAACATAATATCTAACTGAATAATGAATGTTATTCATGTATAATAATTTTATATATTTATATAAGATTAATGATACATTAAAATGTAAGATTTTTATTTTTGTTATAAAATACATTATAATGTTAAATTTTATGTACATAGGTTGTGATCAATAAGTAGTGCATCTCATTTTATATAAATATATAAAAATCAAAACTTTTGATAAAACAAATCCATCGTGGATAATATATTTTTTTGACATATGGATTATTTTGAGCAAGCGCCACATATCATGTATTTGATTATTTTGATTTGACTTCATATACATTTTATTAATTTAAAAGATATTTATTTGGCTAAATTAGGTTATTTATTTTCTTATAAATATCCAATGTTCTTATCTTTTATAAATGTGTTACAATTAAATTATGTTAAATCATTTTCAACCAAATATAATTATTAATTTCAAATATCAAATATGTATTCTATAAATAAGAAATATGCTTTAAAAGCATTAACTATTTAATGACTGTGATTTTAGTATTTAATTAAGTAATAATTTATGTACTTATTAGCTTAAATGAATATATAAGACATATAATGCTAACAGTTCAAACCTAAAATAAAAGTCTAATTAGTTGAAAACAGATTTTCATATTTCTTTTATATAAGTATTAATTACAATTGATATAATTTATTTTCTTAAATTTTTCAAAAATATAAGTTGTAGATTTTTCCAAATAAAAGATATATTACACAAATAATTAATAATCCATTATAATTTTTTGTATAGATTACTCTGAATTTATAAAATTCTCTCAAAAGTTTTATTATAAATAGACAATCTTATATGCTAAAAGTATTAGGAGATTACTCTTTAAAACCTTTAAAATGAGTTGATTTCATTATAATAAAAAAAATTTTGATCACCAAGTTACATTTTTTTTTTATGTTCACAAATTTTTTTCTTTATCATATTTGTCGATTGATTTTGTTTCTCTTTTATTCACTTTTTTATGCATGTTCATATTCTATTTATCTATTCATTTTCAATTTTAGTTTTTTTTTTTTACTTTTGAACTAAATAATTTCATATGTTTTATCTTTTTTAATTCTTAGTCATTGGAAATTTTGTCATATTTTTCTTCATGACTAATAATATATGTGAATAAAGTGAGAATTTTTAGTTAAGTTTGAAGTTTATTAGAATTTGATACAAAATTTTGCTCTCTTATTTACCTTCATTTACAATTTTATTTATATTTAATATGTAATATATGATTTCAAATTTATTTGCCAAAAAATATAATTTAATTTGAACTATTTTGACCTAAATACAATGCAAAGATGGGTAGGGTTTGCTGTTATTATTGTAAATTTTAAACATCTTGCATCAAAATAAGGGACAGTACAAAGTAAAAGTTTTTGTAAAAAATTAATTTTAAGTGAAATAAATTTTTATAATTTGAAATCAAATATTATTTAATTTTATATAACTATCACTATGAAACAAAACATTTTTTATATTATAATCGAACATATTAATCTATAATATTTTTATTTTTTCATTATAGTCTTTTATTTTTATATAAAATTTATTAATTATATTATACATAATTTAGTTACATATATACATATATATAAAATCTTACGGATTTAAAAGGAGCATATATAAACAAGTGTCTCATGTAGAAAAAGTTTAGAAGATTACAAAGTCCAGTTGAACGCGTGGCAGTCTGGCCAGTTTCACCGCTAATGACTCGGTCTTTGTCAGTTTATCCTGTTCGAAGCAAAGCGCCAAAAGGTCCAATTTTGTAATTTCAAGAAAAAGCAAGGGCCATAAAACACCGAAATTGTTTCCTTAAAAACCTCAGCAAAGCCGTTTTTACAACAAAACAAACCCTTACGAAAGAATATAAAACTTTCCTAGTTATGATCACTAAGATAGAACGCATCCTTCAAATTCTCGTAACTTTTCAACCAATCAAAACTCAAAATATCGGATCGTAACTCTGACACAAATTTCTCTTAACCCAGATTTTTTTCAATTCTTTTTTGCCTTTTTTTTTTTTGTTGGTTTGGGATGTTGAAAAATTCTGTCTTCTGCCACTTTGTTTCTTGGTTTTTCGAGTAGATTTAAAAAAAAAAATTTTTTTCGGGTACTTAAACTTTTTTTTTTCCTGGGGATTTTGGTTGTGGTTATGAATAATAACTGGAGAAGACAAAAAGGTGAATTTCATCATCAAGAAATGCAAGGGAAAAGATCATACAGCAGAAAGACACCACTTGGTACTTTGTATTTTCCTTTGTCTCGAGATGTTAATTTTACATTTTTTGTTCTTTAATTTTCTTAAAAAAATGGTGTATCTGCCTCCTTTTGTGAGTTTATATTTTAAATTCTTCATTAAATGTTGTATATATATTTATGAGATTTTTCTTTGGAGGGATTGAAGCGCAATTGAAGGAATATTTTGTTGTTTATTTCTAATATTTATGGTTTGGCAAATTTGAAAATGTATATATTGATAAATTAAGTCCCCAGTCTATTGCTCTGGGTTGTAGAGATCGCTGGATCTCTTTTTAAACTGGGATTCTGTTCCTTTATTAGAAAAAAAAAAAAAAAAAAAAGAGAAGGAACTACCTTTTGCATGGGTTCTAAGGAGCTTGCTTCGGTTCCCAACCTTCTATTGCAGTCGGGCAACAGTTGAGTGAAAAATGTAAGAAGTGATACGGAAACCCACTCTGACATTGATAGTGTTATTTTTGGATCATGATGATTATTCCAGTTGAGCAATACATTGCCAGAAATAGTATGTGTTATTATTCATGCAGACTATATAATAGCTTATGGGATCAGCTGTTTTGTTGTTGGGAATTTCTTTCCTATCTAGTTGCTTGTATGTTTTTCCCTTTATGGATATTTTAGCATTGTGTTTCGTTGAGAATGAATATGTTCATCATTAATCATCTGATTTTATTGTGATAGTGACTCCTGCATGAATGATTAACTTAACATTTCTTAATCCCTCTATCCCAGCTACTTGGCAGCCAACTGTGCCATCATGGGAGAAGAAGTTTTGCAGTTTGGTAGGCTCTGTTCCATGGCGGAAGCTTCTGGAAGCCAAGAGGTTTATGTATCTTTATGACAATGTAGTCCAGTGGAATGACTCAGCTGGTGAAGAGGCATTCAATAATGCTAAGAACCGGTTTTGGGCTGAGATTAATGGTCTTCCCTGTGACATAAGACTCCCAGATCCTGATAGTTATATTGACAAAATAGACTGGGACTCTGAAATTGATCCTGAGCTGCTTCTGGACTTGGAGAGAGAGCCCAATGCCCCTGACGACAAGGATGAAAATGAGAATGTTGTGATTCTTGGTAATTCTCTTCTTTTGAATCAGTCATTTTCCTGTGGTGGTTGGGGGGATGCTGAAGAGGGTGTAGTGAAGGAGAATAATGTGTCTTCAAATTGGAAAAGCAGAGACTATGAAAATTCTTGGGAGCATAATTGTGCTCCCAATAATGGCAATATGAAAAATTCTGGATATGAGAAGTGTTGGAATAATTCTTGGGAATGGAACCCAAGGGAGAATAACTATAACGAGTGTGACAATAATGAACCAAACTTTGTGGATTATAGTACAGGTAGAGATTGGGGAGCATGGGATGTTACTAGAAGAAAGAGAGAAGGTGCTGGTCAGTACATGTCAAGGTATAAAAACTCAAGGTTTTATGGTGATAACCGTCAAAATAATCGGGGATGGAGGAATGTGAGAGGGAGGCAGAGAACGAATTTTTCGTATGAACGACCCCCTGTGGATCCAACACAGTGGAACTCTGTGAATTATTGTGGATGGGCCAATTAACCATAATGAATTTGGCAAAGGAGCCCCTATGGAATAGGGAGAGGCAAGTTTTGTAAGTATAAAGTTATAATAATATAGTATATAATTTTGTAGATTGTAGGTCTCAATATTATTTTATTTGTTGTTCTGTGTTGGAACGGATAGCATAAAATAGGATGATAACAGCTTGGCAATTTCCCCGTTATTTTTGGTTTATGTCCCAGTTTTGTAGTTTGCTTCTTTTGAAGGCTCGACTGAAGTTTGAATATTATTTGTTGTCCTGAGAGTGTTTAGGTGATATGTTTGTTAATTACTCAAAACTGTTTGATGAATTATTGTGACTAGTTGGATTGCATGTTTATCATCAGAATTCCGTAGCTTGCATCCTGATAGCTCAAAGGGTTTCAAATGTACTGAAATCTGTAGGAGCTTCTTGGCTGTCTGAGGAAAAATGTGATTTGTTCCATCATGGTTTTTGGCAATTTTTTCTATTTTTATTTTCTGTTTATTGACGTTCTGCATTTTTCATTCACTTTCTTACAAAACTAATCTCTTTTTAAGGGAAATACCGCTCTGCTTGATCAATTGAATTTTAGGACTCTTTTACCACCTTTGATGCATGAAATTGGAATTCTTAAGCTTTTCTAGCCCATGTCTGCTGAAAAGCATAATGTAGCAAGCTGCAAATTTATTAACTTTTATAGAGATATACACGAAAATTTTGATATTATTTTACAAGACTTCTGCTAAACAACGAACTGTTTGTGCTGGTTGTTTCACTCATATGCGGAAAAATTCATCATTTAAAGAACCATATTTCATAGTCGCTCAGGAAAGAAGGAAAAAGAAAGAAGTTTCAATGGACTTCAGCCTCGAAAGAGCTAACTTTCATCACGCTGAACGTTTTAAGTTTAATTAGTGCTGTTTTCACAACATTTTTAAGAATTCAAATGAACAAAATAAAAGGATTCATTTAAAGCTACTGGTGGCAGGTTTATTAATTATTTGAAAGGCATTTTTTTGCATCTTCACACCAGCAAGGAATGCATAACTTTTGTGATATTAGGCCATAGGATTACGGATAAGATAAGAAGGACCACGGACTGTGACTTCATTGAAAAGGAGGTGAAGGATGCTATTTTCCAGATGAATCCTTCCAAGCCCCTGATGGAATGACAACCTTATTTTTTCAACAATATTGGCATATAGTTGGACAACATATCACTAAAGCTATTTAGGAGTTCCCAAGTCATTGAGACTCTCCCAGAGAATAAATCATATTAATATAGTGTTCATTCCTAAGGTCAAATCCCTGAGCACAATGAAAGAGTTCAGACCCCATTAGATTATTTAAATAGTATATAAAATAATTTCTAAAGCGATTGTTAATAGACTAAAAGTTGTACTCCGTTGGATTATTAGTGAGAATCATAACGATTTTATTGCAAGAAAGATGGTTTTTTGTAATGTTACGATCTCTTATAAAATGGTTCATTATTTAAACAATAAATAAATTAAAAGGAGTTGAAATTAGATATGAGTAAGACATTACATAGAATTGAGTGGGATCACTTAAAAGTAAGGAGGACAATGAATTTTCCTAATAGATGGACCTCTGTAATAATGACGTGTGCATACAGTTACATATTCAATGGTGTCTGATGGTAAGTAGGAGGATTGTTCTAACCCTGGGAATTAGGCAAGGGGATCCACTGTCCCCTGATTTATTTCTTCCTATGTGTTGGAGGTTTATCCTGTTTATTGAACCAAACAAATACAATGGGATTGATAAGAGTAGTTGTGTTTAAGAATGCTCCAGGGGCCTCTCGTCCACTTTTTGCATATGATAGTTTCCTTTTTTGGGAGCTAAAGGTCAAGACTGCCTTGCTATTTTAATTATATTATATACTTCATCAATGAGGCAGTCTCAGGACAACAAGTCCACGTGGATAAATCAGCGGAACTGTTTAACTCCAGAAAACGAAATGCCCAAGGCTTAGCGTTTTGGAGTGCTTGGGTGTCAATGGGATGGAGGACCGTTATTTAGGTCTTGGGCTGAAAAATGGGTACTCCAAAATTTGAAGGATAAAATCTGACAACGATTACAGGGTTGACACGAAAAGTTTCTTTCATATGTTAGTCGGGTTGTGATAGCATTAAAAGTGACAAGGAGTTATATTTATTAATAATTTATATATTTATTTGAATTTAATTTGATATAAAATTTTAAATTTTTAAAATTTTTTAAATGTAACATAAATTAAAAAAATAAGTTTCAATCTTATTCATTAAATTTAATTTTTATAATAAAAAATATAATTAAATTAAATTTAATGATATTATTTTATATATATATATATAATTTATACATATGTGAATTCGAATTAAATTGGATTAGGCTTGAATTTTAAATATTTTATTCAAAACTCTATTTGAAATTTAAAGAGTTTAAAAATTGTACCTAAGTTTATTTAATAGATTTTAATTTTTTATTAAATATTTTCAAAATTTGAGTAGGCTTTTAGATTTGGATAGATAATCAGGCTCTCAAATAAGTCTAATTGATGAGTGTAAAGGGATTCTGTTGTGAGGTGAGGAAATATTGCAATAAAATAAAATAAAATGTGTTGAGAGACAACGAGGAAGAAGATTAAAATAACCCTTAAAGTATATAGTACAATAATAGGTGTTAATGAATGATGAAATAAGGTTAAATAGAAGAAAGAATAATGTTGGGAAAAGAAACTTAAAAAGAAAGAATTGCATAGAGAATTTGAAAGAAACTTTTGAGGAATCTATTCAAATCCAAAAGTCCCCTCTAATTAGTTGAGGGAGCTCTAATTTATAGGTTTTCAAAATGAGAATTATATAACATGAGTATTAAATTGGAATAATGATAAATAATAGTGAAATTGATTGTTACAAAAAATATTAATATATTGTCTATAAGAATTTAATTAACTTTTGATGTTAAGAATAATAAATATAAAAGTTAATTATCTGCTCTAAAAGAAAGAGAGAAGCATTCATATTTTAGAAAAAAGTTAAGAGAAAATCTTTTAATTATCTCTATATTTGATCTATTAAACCAAATTTTTTGAAATATCTAAATAATATAATTAACCCAAAAACCTTGACATATTTTAAGGTTATTTTCATTTTTTTTTTTTTATAAAGTAACTTCGATAAAATATTTTTTGTAAAATAATTTTTAGTGAAGTAACCTTCGTTAAAGGTGTTGGTGTTTTTTGTTGAAGAAACTATTCCATTAACAACTGTTTCATGAAATTATTATTCTATAAGTGAATTATTCTTTAAATATTTGTTTTGTAAATAGTTATTTTTTAAAAGAGTTGTTTCATAAATACTTATTTGGGTAAAAAGTTGTTTCATGAATAGTTGTTTCAAGAATAACTATTCCATGAAAGAATTATTACATGAAAAGTTATTTCACGAAACAATCTTCAGTGAAATGATATTGTTATTTGTTCTAAATTACTTTGACAATATATATAATAATTTAATTTATGAAAAATAATTTTAGCAAAAGAGATAAAATATTAATAATTAAAATCAAATATCAGCATAAGCTCAAGCTATCCCATTGTATTGTAAGAATAATTTTAAATTTCCAAGTCCCGAGCCCAAAATACTTATAGCTAGATTTTGGTGGCGAGACGGGGATGGAGATGGTAATAGAAGAATCCATTGGCTTGTTTAGGATTCTTTGTGCGTGTCTAAAATGGATAGAGGATTGGGATTCGGGGATTTTGAAGTCTTATCTTGCTTTATCGGCAAAACAGAGCTGGAGATTTCTTCAAACCGACTCAACATTATGGTACAAGGTTTTCAAGGCAAGGCATTTTCTTAACAGCGCTATGCTTCATCCAAATTTCGGTTATAAAGCTTACGTTGTTTGGCGGAGCTTATAAGAGGAAAGGGCAGTTGTGATTGAAGGATGGAGGTGGAGGGTAGGAGATGGTTCTTGTATTGATAAACAAACCACCTCATTTTAGACCGTCTTACCATCATAGCTTTACTGGTCATTAATGAAAGTAGAGGGTTTGATCATACAGGAGAGCAGAACTTGGAAATTCATGAGCTTTTTGAGGCTGAAGATGCGGAAATTATAACTACTATGCCTTTGAGTCGAAGGGTGGCTGTTGATCGGATAATTTGGGTTAGAACTTTGCTTGGGAATTTTACTGTAAAATCAGCCTACTATGTTGCAAGGAAGATTCTTGGGAAGATGTCCTTCGGAATATTGCTCTCCCATTTGGATACTGATGTGGTCAGCCAAGGCACCGCCTCAGGATAAATTTTTCACGTGGATTGGGAGTCACTTTTTCATATACATATAAATATAAATATATATATATATATATATATATATATATACATATGTATATTTTCCAATGCAATTTTACATGTGAGATGTGAGTGATTGTTGCCTTTGTTGCGACATGGTCCTCTTCCGTAGAAAGCATGCATGATTGGGGAGTGAGCATTTCCTCATGGACACCCACTCCTCCATATCAGACAAGGTCGATACAAACGCAGCTATGGATGCTAGGAATGATACAACTCTAGGAATGGTTGTTAGAGATATGCGGGGTTCTATCCTCTTTTAGGTGCGGTGACCAAGATTCCACATTCTGCTAGTCCTTTTCATGCTGAAGTTCAAGCCATTTCTGTTTGGTTTCTTGCTTCTACTTTCCGCTCAATCATTATTGAAATGGTGACAACATTTGAAATTAATGCTTCCTTACGAGATGGGGCAAGTTGGACTTTGGATATTGTATATTTAATTTCCTCTTGCAATGCTTGTTCTTTTGTTCACTGAAAGAGCCCATAATTTAGCCTTTTTGAAGTGGAAGCATATAGCAAGGGCCTCTGCCCAATTTCTTTTGTAATCCAGATTCATTTTGATATCCATGATATTTCTTCATTATCAAAAAGAAAAATGACAATGTCTGAAATAATTTTTTTATATTTAAATTAAACTTTATTGCTATCATATTGTATAATCTGTTGTCAAATTTCCAAGAATAATTCTTGATTGGTGAAGTAAAATTGAGGTCAAAGGTTGGTTTCCACATGCAAATTTTGAGATAAATAAGAGAAAACGATAGTGACATCTAAGACCAAAAAGCATGGAGAGCCCCTGAATGCATTTCTTTCTTAACTGAATTGCACTATTCTTTGATATAAAGTCTAAATCTAAAGAATAAAAAAAACACAGTTAAACAAAGAGTGGAAAGTCATAAAAAACAATTATGAAAAATAACCTCAATACAAAATGGTTACATTATTTTGAAACAGCTTAAAGTAGAAAAATGCAGCATTCAACTAAAAGCAAATCATTCACACTCTAAAAAAGAAAGTAATAATCGTTCAAGTGTTGCCGGTTGCAACCACTCAAATTTTGAATTTACCATAACAAAATATAACAGAAATGTACAGTTTTAAACATGGCAGTACCATGTTCTACATCAACTAAGCCTAATAATTTAGGAACAACTAATGCAAATACACAAAAATTGCTCTTCCACACAAATGTAAATTGTCAACTGATATCAATAAAAATGAAAAATCATGCAAGTAATACTATGTCACAACTGCAGGTCATTCGTCTCTGCTGAAAGATGTACTCTTGTGTTCCCGGGCTAAATTATTCTACATCACAAACCCATATAGCAAAAATATTTTGCACTTCTTTGACGTTGCTACCTTATTTATACCAACCAGCAAGGAAGTACCTCAGCATGAAACAGAAGCAGCATCCTAGGGCCTGATCAGAAATGGAAACATAAACGAATGTGAGACAGAAGTTCACAAATGGATGATGCATGCTACTAAGAGATCATTAAGCTTTGCAAAGTGGAATTAGAACTATTTATCACACTAAAGATTAGACCAACATTTGTAGTTAAACCGGTCTATCTCAAAGCGAAAAACTGAAAAATAACGAACCCATTGTCAGGATAGGAAAACCCAAAACCAAAATTTATTTGGTTGGTTAGAATTCTGTCATATCTTTCCACATCTAGTCTATGTAAGATGGTATAGTAGAGATGTCTGCTATAAGTTGTTCACTACAGCCATCTGGTACTTGGAGATTAGGGAAACAAAATGTTGGCTAAATGAAGAATGAAATCAAACATTAAAAAGTCACCTGAACAAGAAGAAGGTGGATGCAGAGTGACTTTTCTGATTTCGGCCCAAATATTCTCAAGTAAAAGTTAACGAGTGTCCCATCCTGTGTTCCGGTAAGTAGTCCAGTCTCAGGATTGAACCTAAAATACAAAAGGTATTAATGATAAAAGAGACAAGAAAATTTTGATGCAAGCTAAGTCTGATATGGATAAACAGAGTTACCTTGGAAGACGATGTCGGGGACATTTGACATAGCCAGAAAGCTTATAAAAAAATTTATGTAAATGCAAATTAGATGTTTTGCCTATTATTTATAGAGTTCTAAATAGTAACAGAGAAGAGAGAGAAAGGGAGAGAGAGAATGGTAGAGCAAACCTGCGGAAGTGACAAGAGAAAGTTCAACACTTGAGGAAGAAAGAAAATCAAGAGAGTTTCACTGTAACAAGAAATTTCAAAGAGGAAAAACAGAAAGGAACTTAATCAATATTAATAAGAATAGCCCCCCCTACATTAAAGGTTGCCGATGGTAAGCATAAATATTTAGTTTGTTAGAAAAAACTTGGATATTATGCCACAAAAGTCACAGCAAAACGCAGATGGAAGAAGGATGCTAAGAGGTGCCTGCTTCTAATCCATGAATATTTATGTACTGATTACCCAGTAAACAGGCATTATGAATTAAAATAAAATGAGAAAGGATAGCGGCCAAATCACCATTCTTTTGACTGGGATAAATATTCTAGAACCAAACAAGTCATTGCATATTTCTTAAAACATGCCCTTTTGAGATGGCTTGCTAGGTTTTCTTCCTTGACCATATCACCCTTTTTTATCATAAAAGGGCATATTAACTCCCCAAATGTTTTGTCAGAAGGCTCTGTGTTTACTACTGTGGCATTAAGGTAAAAGAGACATGTACACACATACATAAATGTATGCATGTATGCATGTATGTGTTAGTGTATGCTTGTGTGTGAGTTTGAATATTATGAGAATATTCCACGGGAGACAGTTTAGGAGGGATTAATTGGGAGCATTAATGTGTAATTTGTAATTGATTCTCTTTCCTTAGTATTGTCTCTATAATGAAAGGCTCTTTCCTTAGCAAGTTGTTCTCTAAAGTCTTAATTCTAACATGGCATTAGAGCCAGTAGTGCAACCCTAGCCGCTGCCCCCCCTTTCTCTCTCTCTCTCCCCAAACCCTTTGCGATAGCACCTGAGTCATCACCTAAGCCATCGCTACTACAGAATTCGATCTCAAAGCCCTAAAGCTGCGTATATAAAACTTTTCCTTCCTCTTCAGCAGTCCCTCATTAGTTGAAAGGTGGGGCTGCCCCTTTATTCTCAAAGGCAGCAAGAAGAAAGGGTTGCAACCTCTTCGTGAATGATAAATTAAGGGAGACAAGTTCTTCTCTGTGTAGAGCGTGGCTGCAGAACTAGGGACGAAGTTCCCAGTTGTTGATTAGGGGTTATGTTACCCGATTGAAGGATTACCAATTGTGTTCTGTGTTCTGGAGGAAGAAGGTTCTGTAGCCATGGCAAAGGAAAAGGCTCATGGTTGTCAAATGAGAAACTTGATGGCTCTAACTACTTATCATGGAGCAAGACTATGTTGGTGACCTTGCAAGGTCTTGGAAAGGCTTGGTTTCTGACAAGTGAGCCACTAGTAAATGAAAGCTCGGAGCATACAGCATGAAAGCAGGATGACAATCGAGTACTTGGACAATTATTCAACTCGATGGAATGACAGGTTAAGGTGATGTTCAATCAATACTCTACAAGTAAGGAACTTTGGGATGCTTTAAAAATTGCTTATGCAAATTCGGAGAATTGGCAGAGGATCTCAAATGTTGCCAGGACATGGACTAGAATGGAGCAGTTTGATAGGAGCCTAAGAGAATATTTTTCTATGTTCAAGGAGGTGTATGACGAGTTTAACGAACTCATGCCCTTGTCTATCGATCTGAAGACAAACTAGGAGCAACGAAAGGCTCTAGCTATAGTGTTTTTCTTAGCAGGATTGAGGAGGGAGTACGCTAGTGCCAGTGTCACGGACCTAAGGGGGAGTCCTGAATCCCACATCGAACATAATAGGATGGTCATTGGGGTATAAAGCGGTTCACACCATCTCCGCCTTGTGAGGCGCCTTTTGTAGGACAAAACCGTGAGGCAAGGGGGCCAGAGCGGACAATACCTCACAAGGGTGTGATACTTAGATATTAGCAAGTAGGATCCACTTTCTTTATTGGATGCTTATAAGTGCCTAAGCAAGGTAACTCAGCATGATCCTCCACAAAAAGATAGGATAGTATTTGCGGCCCCACAGGTGAAGGGCAAGCACCACGCGGAGGACGTGGTGGATGAGGTAGGGGATGTGGTAATGGTATAGGAGACCCACAGTCCTTCTATCATTGTGAACAGCAAAAACACTTACGGAATGTTTGTTCGCAACTTCGAGGCAATTTTGGCCCACCAACGACATATATGACTGATGCTACACTTTAACCCAAAAACAAGAGGAGAAAGTAGTTCAATTATCCCAGGATGAGTATGACAGCCTTATTCATATGCTTCAGAATCAGACTTCTGATCGCCTATCCAATAGCAACTTTTATATAAGGTATATCTACTGCATGCCTAGCTACCCCTTTCAGTACTTGGGTGATTGATTCAAGAGCTTTGAATCACATGACGAGTACTACAAGTACTCTTTAATTCATATACTCCTATGACAGGGAAACATTCTGTTTTGGTTGCTGATGGAAACTCTAAAGATATTGTGGGAAGGGGCAAGGCTCGACCTATATCCACGTTACCTTTACATTTTGTGCTACATGTCCCTTCTTCTCCTTTCAACTTACTTTCAGTTAGTCAGATTACAAGGAATTTAAATTGTAATGTTTCCTTCTTTCCTACTTAATGTGTTTTTCAAGATCTATTGGCGAAGCAAACTATTGGTAGGGGAAGCATCAAAGGAGGTCTTTATGTGCTTGATGACATACAGAAGATACATTAAGGATTAATAACATACTCAGGAGAATTGTCATCAGCTTATGAGTCTCATTGTCGTTTTGGTCATCCATCTATGTCAACTTTACGAGCTATGTGTCCTCATTTATCATCCTTTAGTTTTGATTGTGAATCGTGCAAATTTTCTAAACTGCACATAGTATCCTATTGACCTCAATTTAATAAAAGAGAAATGCTTCCTTTTGCTGTGATTCATTTTAATGTATGGGGGCTTTGTCCTATTATTTCAAAATCTAGGTATAGATACTTGGTGACATTTGTTGATGATTATTCATGAGTTTGTTGGTTGTATTTGTTGCAGAACCATTCTGAATTATTCTCTATCTTCACTACCTTTCATGCAGAAATAGAGAATCAATTCGGTAAGTCTATCAAAATTTTACTGAGTGATAATGGGGGAGAGTATTTTTCTACAGAGTTCGTTTAATTCCTAAATGCAAAAAGTATTGTTCATCAGTTCTCATGTATAGATATCCCACAGCAAAATGAGGTTGTTGAAAGGAAGAATTGCCATTTGTTGGAAGTGGCTAGAGCTCTTTTGTTTCAAATGAAGGTCCCTAAGGTGTTCTGGAGTGAAGCTGTCATCACAGCATGCTATCTTATAAATCGTTTGCCATCCTCGGTTCTTGAAGGAAAAGTTCCTCTTCAAGTATTGTGTCCTGATCGTCTCTTATTTCCAATCTCCCTTAAGGTGTTTGGGTGCACATGTTTTGTTCATGACACTTGTCCAGGTCGCACTACATTAGACCCACTTTCTCTTAAATGTATCTTTCTAAGTTATTCACATGTGCAAAAAAGGTATCGATACTACTCTCCAGACCTGGGTCGCTTTATTATTTCGGCATATGACGCGTTTTATGAGTCAATTCCTTTTCCTTCAGTACTACAACCTCATCCATCACCTATCATATCAAAAAGGAGATTTTTTCATTGATCAAATACATAATACACCAGCCAAAGCATCTCTTTCTGAGGCATGCCCAAATACTCGATTTGGTCATATGTACACTAGAAGGACCTGTGTAGATCCACCTACGGAAACTTTCCCTATCGAGGCAGTCTCTCCGTTGCTGGATCCACCTCAAGACACTATGGCTGAAGATGTACTGACTGCTCTACGAAAAGGTATGCAAACTTTTAGAAAATTTCTTTCATACACACCCTCGTACAAAGGACTTTTTGCTCAACTTCAAACTTGTATTGCCACAATTGACACTATTACTATGCCACGTACTTTGTGATGCTTTTGCAGATTCAGGATGACGTAAGGCTATGGAGGATGAGATGATGGCCCTAGAGGCCAACCATAAATGGGACTTGGTTTCCCTACCAGAAGGGAAGCAAGTTATCAAGTGCAAGTAGGTTTACACCACAAAATTGAATCCTGATGGTTCATTGACTAGATTGAAGGCAAGACTAGTAGCAAAGGGATATGCACAAACATATGGAATAGATTATTTTGATACCTTTTTCACCAGTGGCAAAGATGACATCTACTCACCTATTTCTCAGTTTTGCTGCTACACATAAATGGGCATTACATCAGTTGGATGTGAAGAATGCTTTCCTACATGGTGACTTGACTGAGGAGGTATATATGGAGCAACCATCGAGGTTTGTTGCTTAGGGGGAATCTGGGAAGGTGTGCCGTTTGTGTAGGTCTCTGTATGGTCTGAAGCAATCTCCATGAGCATGGTTCAGCAAATTTAGTGCAACTCTTGTTCAATATGGCATGTGACAAAGTGAGAAGGATCATTCAGTATTTTATATGGGGCAGAGTTCTGGCCTTGTATTGTTGAGAGTGTATGTAGATGATATCATCATCACTGGCAGTGATAGTGCAAGGATTTATAGACTTAAGACGTATCTTAAGTCCCAATTTGAGACCAAGGATCTTGGTCAATTGAAATATTTTATGGGTATTGAAGTGGCAAGGTGTAAAAAAGGAATCTTTGTATCTTAGGGGAAGTATGTGCTGGTTATTTTGAAAGAAGCAAGCTTGTTCCATTCCAAGCCAAGTGACACACCGATGGATCCAGGTATTAAGCTTTCTCAAGAGGTTGGCACTTTACCTGATGATCCCACACCTTACAAGAGACTAGTGGGAAAACTGAATTACCTGACCATTACAAGACTTGATATATTTTTTCCAGTGAGTGTGGTAAGTCAATTCATGGCAGCTCCCAGAGATACTGGAGAGTAGCAATGCGCATCCTTCATTATTTGTTAAGAAATCCTCGAAAGGGAATACTCTATAGTTCTACTAGTGATGGGGGTATTCGAGCCTATGCAAATGCAGATTGGGCAGGCTTTCCCATAGATAGGAAGTCTACATTTGGTTATGCTATCTTCCTTGGGAGTAATATGGTGTCCTAGAAGAGCAAGAAACAGCAAGTAGTTGCTAGGTCTAGTGCAGAAACAGAGCATAGACCATGGCTTTGGCTACAACAAAAGTATTACGGATGATTCAATTCTTAGATGAAATTGGGCTTTCAGTTCAGACCCCTACAGAGTTATGGTGTGATGATCAGGTGGCAATTCATATTGCTTCCAATCCAATATTTCATGAAAGAACCAAGCATATAGAAGTTGATTGTCATTTCATTAGGGAAAAGTTGCAGAGTGGAACAATATTATTGAAGCATGTGCACACAAGGGAACAACTTGCCAATATTCTTACAAAATCACTTCCAAGAGTTCGAGTATATGCTCTAGCTTGAGGGGGAGTGTTAGTGTATACTTGTGTGTGAGTTGCAATATCATGGGAATATTCCATGGGAGACAGTTTAGGAGGGATTAATTAGGAGCATTAATGTGTAATTTGCAATTGATTCTCTTTCCTTAGTATTGTCCATATAATGAAATAGCAATCCAAGAAATTAGCAAGTTGTTCTCTAAAGCCTTAATTCTAACATTATGCATGTACTGCATTATGTAACCAAAGACCTGACAAATGAAACAGAACGTAATGGACACACACCTATAATGTCCCAGAATCCCAACTACTGCCATGGTCATTCCAGCAAAGTATGTGTATGTATCCCCAACAAAAACTGAAGAAGGATACCTTCAAACAAAAAAAGCAAAAAAGCCATTAGCAAGACTTTATTAGCCAAGAAGTAGCATTTACAGACAGCTGGCGGTAAAATGCAGGATTATTACCAGTTGAAAGAAAGTAAAGCCAAGGAAGTGGCCAGTAAGGGTTGAACAAGATAAATAGAGAAGGCATGAGCCTGTTTATACTCGGGATCTGAAGATACTCCAATTTGCATTAAATTATGTATCAAAATCTGTGAATTGCAGAATGAAGTTAGACTGCTAAGGTGTCAGATTTTAAATATCATAGTAGTGTTTATGCTTACAGCTGATGCAATCACAACTGTCTGCCCAACCTCAAGGCCATTCAAACCAGCATGAATGTTAATGGAATTTGTGCAGAATACTGCCAAAAGCCCCATATACAATTTGTACACCCATCCTGCCACAACAAAACTAACTGTGAGGTCCTTGCAAGGTTAAACAGCTCACTGACTTGGTGCTCTACTTACAAAAGCAATTTCATTTTTCTTAAAAAAAAAGGCAATGAAAATTGAAAAATTGAACAAAAAGATTCAGCAGTTCAAAAAGGATAAATCCAGAAAAGGTAACTTAAGAGGGAGATAAAACAGAGATGACAGAGATAAAAAGGTAGGTATGCTCAAATTGAAGGTCCAAACTCTTCATAAATTATAGTAATATTCGGCCTTCTGTTTATTCCCAAATAAAAAGATTATATGTTAACTCCAACTATGTATCCTCACATATCCACCAACATGTATCAGTATGTAGATATAACATTAACATGGTAGGAAATATAGCGTGTTCTTGCATCAAAGACAGATATATTTGTCTGAACATAAAAGAGAGAGAGAGAGAGAGAGAGAGAGAGAGAGAGAGATTCTTGTCTATTTTTATGTACGACACTGCATACTCTATCTATCCTTTTCCTTGATTCAGTTTATTATTGAAAACAATCCAGGTTGATTGATTGCTTGGCATGGCTCAATGAAACTAGGTTCATAATTAAAGCGTAGGTCCACACCAAGTTTCTTCCACAACATATTGTCTTAGGGTAAAGGTTAAACTCATCAATTACCTTAATTATGGTCCAGCCTTACTTTACACTGTAAAAAGTAAGTGTTGAAGAGTGCATTAAGGAAGATCTAAAAAAAATATGGCTATGTCCTCCTTATTCTATAAAGGATGCGTTGTGCCAATTGGCAAAGTTAAAACTTAGATGCAAAAGAAATTCTGCAGGTTGAGATCAATTATGTTCCTCAGCCAAACGGGCAAATATTTCCACCTCTTGAGGATAATCATTTCAATTATTGCAATTATATGGGCAGTCATTAACTAAAGCTCAGGACATGGACATGCTAGCATGTTAACACAAGTATATTTTAGTGTTTCTTAAATGGCAGGTTGCATGCTTGATAGAAATTTTGATGCCATCTTTTCATTATACAGTGAGCACCTTCTAATAGCTAATTCATGTTATATCTCCATGAAAGAGACATGTTAAAACTTCACCAAACCAACCTTTGCAGTTTACTTTCACAAGAGTACCAAACTTTGTTTTACATAATGGTTCTCTTTTGTTGTTTTCGTACAGCAAATGCCAAATATATATATATATATATATATATGCATTTACTCCAAGTAGAGGTGACAAAAACTTATTGAACCCCAAAACCTACCAAAGAGACTAGAAATCCACACCAACCAAATTAATTGGAAAGGTCAATGATGAAAGCAAAAACCTGAACCCAAACCTCACCCCAAAAGAAACCTGCTTTACTAGCTACTGTAGAGAAAAAATGTGGTTTGAAGCTGACTCAAACACAAAGACCCATCAATCTGGTCAGAACCCAACTTGACCAGCCTGATTTAACACCAAAGGTCACCTCAACTCAAAATAACCTGAAAAGGTCAGAAACCTAAATGACTTGAACCAAAGCTGACCTAACATGCTCAATAGCCCCAGAACTTTGAGATTATAGGATTTCATTAGAGTTAAGTTGATGATCACTAAAAGACAGAAAGCATCCTACCACAAGAAAATGAGAATGATGGAACGAACACCATCATAACATTAAAAATGTTTCTTATTCTTACTGCCAAATTAATTCTCAAACTGTTCCATACCTAGATCCAACACCTCTTGTCCTATATAGAAAACAAGAGGCTTTGGAATGATGATAGTTGTGTGCCCAGCATAGGCCATCAACAATGGAAGAGCAGCAAATGATGGCAGTAATAGTTTCCTGCTCTTCATAAAAAGAAAGGATCTTGTTAAATATCAGTTCAGAAGCCATGGACATCCTTCCAAATAATTAACATGCTTTCATAGAATATTCAAAAACCTTAAGGCTAAATATATACTCACACTCTCCAAGGGACATCCAGGACATCATCTACGAATCCAAGTAAAATCATGAAACAGATAGATGCTAAGGCTGCATTGTATTCAACGAGCCACTGAAAAAACAATAGCCAACAGATTATTCTTAAATTGTCTAAAACATTAAACTCTATACGAATAAGCTAGCATCAGACCTAATGCAACGAGGAATCACACTAAATTATGATAAAACAACTAGAATTACCTTAAAGTTGGAGGACAGAAAACATGCAATGTAGTAGTAAATTTAATATGTACAAGAAAAAGAAAGAAAGCAAAAGTTCTTAGAAAAAAAGTGGAGTTATCATGTTCAAAGTTCCCTGTACCATACTCAACTTAAGTAAGCCTTAACCCCAAACTAGTTGAGGTTAGCTACATAAAAGTTTCTCCCCATTCCACTTAATTAAGGACTTTAACAATTGATGAAAGAACTAAAGAAGCTAAATCATATTCTAGAATGCTTTCAACTACATGATATGGTTTACATCTAACTGTACTTGAATCACAAATAACATTGATATATGTATATGGTACTCCTTTTTTCTTCAACACCTACAAGCATTCTCTAGAAAACTATTGCATGCTAATGCTAATTTTATGTTCGGTTTAAGGAAGGGAATATGACAGGAATGTGGATGCAATAAGAGTAAGAATGGCAACAAAAATTACTATTTCCTAGTTCAGTTGGTTAAAAAGAATGAAGCTTGAATTAATATTTTTATGCTATTTTTATGCTTGTTGTAGGCATGTTGCCCTTATCACACATTAAAATAAAATTCCCAATTTGCATTTTTTATACTGGTCTTCCTTTTCCACCACCTTGTGCTTTACAATCCCACTAATTTGACGGACTTTCATACAAGTTCCAACATTACTACCTCAAATGTACAAATAATTATGTATTAAACGGTGTATTCACTTCCTCAAAAATGGTATCAATCATCCCTAGTGTTTGAATATTTTCATAAATCATTTATCTCTGATACTGCAAAATACAGCAGCTGCATAATTAAAACTCAAAAAGAAAGGAAGAAGCAACAAAAAAAAAAAAAAAAAAAAACCAGCTAGAAACTTCTTGAACATGTCACACTTACATTTGAATCTGCTGTGAAGTTAAAATATTGGAACAAGATAGCCAAGACCAAGAAAACAATGCCAACAACAATTCCCAATGACTCAGGCCTGCAAATTCAAACTTGAGCACATGGATTTGAAAGCATGACGGCATATAGTATCAGCATCTACAAGCACTATCAGTACCCACAGAATTCAAAAAAAGAAATTGGATAGTATTAAAAAAAGGTTGCAATACAATACTGTAAACCAATATTGAGGATATAACTTATAGGCAATCATCAATTCATTGAATTGAAAGTAAAATGATAAAGTAGAGACATTAATTAAACAACGTAAAGTTTTAAAAAAAAATCTTTCCAGGTACCCAGCTAATGAATTTGAATAAATATCCAAACCCAATTTATCAAATCCAATCAAAATTCAAAATTAAAACAAACCCTGCTCGTCAAATTTCGAAAGCAATGAAAACCCAATATTTTTCTTCTAAGAAAAAAAAAGTTTTAGACTTACACTTTGATAGCGCCTTGAGGGGTACCCTTCTTGTTAATATCAAATCCAAATAAACCGCGTTTCAGAACATATCTAGAAGCAACAGGAATCATTCTCTGAGTAAGGAAGAAGCCGGCAATGCTAAGGGCAGCATTGATAAGGATGGATCTCTTGAGGTCTCGCTCAATCTTATAGTGTTGGAAAAGAAGGTAAAAGTATGGGATTGAAAAGAAACAACAGAACTTAAAGATTAAGCCTTTCTTTGGTGGAGCGATTGGTGGCTCGATTTGGGTGGTTGTTGTTTGGGTTTGAGGAGGACTTGGCTTTGTATCTGTTGCGGTCGTTGCCGAAGCTCTCTTGCGAGCTGCCATGGCTGCTGCTCTGTTTCTCTGCAATTTTTTTTTTTTTTATTTCTCTCAAATTTGTTGTCCTTGAATTTTCTCGGTATCGATTCTATTTCTTTGTCACATGGAAACTGGCGTCAATTGGACTGAGATAAGTCTTTTAGGTTCATTTTTGGCGTCACTGAACCAACCAGATATTGCCACCATAGCAAATTTCATGCCTTGGTGTCACGTATTTTCCACATCTTGACACGTAGATGTGACAATTGGACGATTTCGCCAGTGCCTTTCCTAAATTCGGATTATTTTGGATCATCATAATTTTCGAGTTTGAATTGTTTTCATTTCAATCTGTTTTGAGTATGATCAAACTCATATTAATCACAATCCGATCTTTTGAGAATAAAAATTTGAGTTTCCTAAGTTTTAGATCGAACTGATTTGAAATTCATGTAATTACAAAATAATAAATTAAAATTATTTTGAATTTAGATACTTTTCATATTTAAATTATTTTGAAATTTTTTTGAATTTAAATATATAATATTTTTCAATCAATTCGAATGAAATTCAATCGATTTAAATGACTTTTTGAGTTTAATAAAATTTTACTAGCTCACTTGAATTTAATCAAACAAAAGTCTGCAATCTTTAACATTTTCATTGCAATCTTATAAATTAAATATAGGTTAAGTGATTTTTTCATGGCATTAGAAAGGAAATACTAGCTTATTGCTTTTTTTTTGGTCAAGAAAGGAAGCATGCATGAAATAAAGATTAGTATGGCACACCATTATCTCATTAGTCTCAGCTAATAAAAGAGGGATGATACAATCAGGGAAGCAGTGAGAGAAATAAAAGATTCAAAAGGGATTAGGGCTAGGAATAATAGACAAGCGAAGCCTCACTTCGCCTCTTAGCAACGGCACTAGCACTCTTGTTTCCTTCATGAAAAATGTATCTCATTACTATCTGATAGAGGCTCATCAACATTGTCTTGCAATAACATAGAAGGGTGTTAAGGAATTGGTTGGTATAGTCAGTGTTGTTAATAAGATTAATCACCACCCTTGCATCTAATTCCACTTAAACTTTTTGAACTCCTGCATCAGTGGCAAGCTTAAGGCCATCTTTCACGGCCCATAATTCTGCTTCCACACTGGTATCTCTTGGGATATGTGGAGACGACCTTGCAATCCATTTTCTTGTATGGTCCCCGTAAGATTGTTCCAGCTTTAGCCTTTCCTGGGTTCCCAACTGAGGAGCCATCAGTATTAAGTTTGTACCAATCTCGTGGGGTGGTTCCCATTTGACACCAATGAAAGTGGGGAATGAAACTTTCATGGTTTTTCCCACGATTGCTTGGAATTCTTTTGCTCATTCAATGGCTCTTGTTACTACCCTTGCAACTTCATATTTTCATTCTAAGACCAGTTTGTTTCTGGTTGTCCATATTTCCCGCAGAAGGAAAGTGAAAATGATCTTCCATGGAAGTCTCTGGTTATCAAGGACATGATTAGAGGTGGCATTATATTGCAGCCACTCAGACCACATGAGAAACTTAGAATAGAGTCCTTGGGGTGGTATCCTGGCCAAGGTCCATCAATGTAACTCAATGGGACATTTAGTAAAAAAGTGAACTAAGGTTTCCTCCCTTGCGAGGCAAAATGGGCGCCTATCCTATATCTCCATGCCTCGCCTTATGAGGAATACCCTAGTTGGCAGGATTTGATGCATGCATTCCTATAGAAAGAACTGGAGCTTAGGGTTGATATTAAGTTTCCAGATCCACAGCCACCTCCATCTTTCCACCGATGAGCTTTGGAGGTTTTCAAGAGAGGCGATTTTGTAAACGTTGGTCAGAGAAAACTCCCCAGTATGAGAGTAGTTCTAGCATAAAGAATCAACACCATGTTATTGTAGGAAAAACAGGATACTACAAATCCTGCTAAGAATATCTTCTGGGAATTGGATAGAAATGTGAAGTTGTCCAGAAGTTTCTCCAACTTGCCTAACTTTCTTGACCGTGAGCGCTTTTTTACCCTCCTTGAGGGGACCCTCAATCAGTGATCTAATGTCCTTTAGCCCAATCCAGTTATCATGCCAGAAATTGATCTTAACTCCATCATGCACAACCCACCTCATCCCTTTCTTCATGATCTGTTGGCATTTACTCATGGACCTCTACATCATTAAAGTGGTAAAGTTCTTTGGGTTTCTCTTGAGAAGATATTTGTTGGTGAGTACCTTTACTCAGAGGTCATTTTGATGATGGATCATTTTCCAACAAAGTTTAGTAAGGAGACCTTGATTTCAGGGTTGTTTTTTTCTTAAACCTAGACCACCCTTTTCTTTAGGTTTGGTAACCTCAGACCATTTGATTTTGTGGAGTTTTTTCTTCTCCTCCCCTCCTCCCCAGAGGAAATTTCTGTTAGTCTTGCCAAGCTCGCGGCATGTAAAAGTTGGTAGGGCTCTGCATTGCAAGAAATACGTCGATATAGCCGCCACCGTGGACTGGATAAGGATCATACAGCCTGCTAGTGAGAGAAGATTGGCTTTCTAACCCACGAGCTTGTTTCTGATTTTCTCAAGAATAAAGTCAAAATTTTGCTTCCTTGTTCTTCAGTTGTGCATGGGAAAACCCAAATACTTACCAAGCTTTTCAGTACTTTTAATGCCAAGAGTATTAATGATCCAGAGTTCCAGACTCTGGGCCTTGTGCTCGTATTCTTGGAGAAGAGCATACATGAATTTTCGATGCTAACCTTCTACCTTGACTCCATCATGAATCTTTCAAGAACCTCTTTAATTGTAAATGTTGATTTCTTATCCATCCTTGAAAAAAGGATAACGTCATCCTCAAATAAGAGGTGTGATAATTCAGGTCCCCTCATTAACACTTTTATGGGATGCTATTTTTCCCCTCACATGCTTCCTGTATCATTAAATTAAGATACCCTATGCACAAGATAAAGATAGATGGAGACAAGGGATCTCCCTGTTGAACTCTTCTGGAAGGATCAAACTAATCCACCTTCCCTACCAATCACAACAACAATTATATTCGGAGATGTGATGCAGTCCATAATCAGTGACGTCCATTTCTCGAGAAAGTTGAAATAGGTTAAGACTTTCCTAATAAAGCCCCAATCCATTCAGTATAGGCCTTCTCCAAATCAAGCTTCAAGATCATGTTACCAAATTTCCCTTTTTTTTGTCTTCATTGAGTGGAGTGTCTTTTGGACTATGTTGACATTGTCCATGGATTGTCTACCTCGGATGAAACTACCCTGCAAGGGGGATATGAGCTTGTTTAACGGGGGTCTTAGTCTTTAAACCAATAGTTCAATCACCATTTTGTAGGTGGTGTTGAGTAGACTTATCGATCTAAAGTTGTTCACAGTGCTTGGAGATTGATTTTTTGGCACCAAAATGATCAAGGTTCCATTTAGTCCCTCTTGTAGCTTTCCCTTCTCAAAGGTTTTATAACAGGTCTCATACACCTTGGCCTTAACTATATCCCAGTAACGTTGGAAGAAAAAGGGATGGAGTCCGTCTGGTCCTGGTGCTTTGAATGGCTTCAGGGACCAAAGGGCTTTCTTTATGTCGGATTCAGTAATTGGTGTTTGAAGATTTTGTCTTTCGCTCGCTGTTAACACAACCTACTTGAGGTTGCTATGGTCCAAGGTTAAGCTTTCACGTAAGTTAGCTGTAGAGAAGAGCGTCATAAAGTGTTCCAATATCATTTTCTCTAGGCCTCCTTGCTAGTGATCCACATACCATTTTCATCAAACAAGCCTCCAATTCTATTCATATATCTCCTCATGACGGTGGTTAAAGGAAAGAAACTTGTGTTTCTTTAACCTTCAATCATCCAATTGACCCTTGACTTTATGGCCTACAAGAGTGCCTCATATTTAAGGATCTCCTAATATTCCTCCATCAAGATTTTTTTAAGATCTAACAGGTACTTGCATAGTCCCTTAGCTAGTGCTCTCTCTCTATTCCTTTAAGTCTGGCCCTTACTCTCCTTTTCTTTTTAAAATTGCTGCAAAGGTTTCTTTGTTCCAGACTTTGAACTTGTTAGTGAACGATTAGACTGTTTGGGAAAGTGTTAGAGTTGTTGGTGGTCCAGTATATTGCCACAACATTCTCAAAGTTTAGATGGTCAACCCACATTCTTTGGAACCTGAAGGGCTTGTTCTCGTTTGTCGGTCTAGTTCCCTTAAGGGAGATCAAAATCGGAGCATGATCCGACCTAACCCTTCCGGGTGGTTCACATTCATTTCAAGGTAGAGCATTCTACATGCATGATTTGCTAATGCATAATCTATCATTTCCTGGACCAAATGTTGAATATTCCTAAGATTGGACCACATTAACTTGGCCCCTTTATATCCCAGGTCAAAAAGATTGCATGCATTGAGGCATACATACAGCTTGCATAGCCTGCTATTTATAATAGGTCTACCTCCTTTTTTGTCATCCAATGATAAAACCTCATTGAAATCGCCCGCAACAAACCAAGGCAATTTAGGATTTAAAGCAACAGTTCTAAGCTTATCCCATAACAATAATCTTTCTTTAAATCTAAGGGTAGCATAAATAGCTGAGAAAAGGTATAAGCAGTTGGAGGAGTGTACCTTAACATTAGCATGGATTTCTTGTTCAGCTTGGCAAATTTCCCACACCGTAACTAGGTTTGATTGCTGCAGCATCCAAATCCTTTCTTGATATCCTATTGTCCCGATGTTTTTCCATGCATCGAACGGTAGTCTATCGATGATGTGACGAACATGTCTTCCTCTTACCCTTGTTTCGTAATCACCATGATCTGAGGTTGATGAGCTCTCACCATATCTCTTATAGTTATAACAAAATTTGTGTGGTGAGCCCCTCTATAGTTCCAGACAATGATAAACATAGTGGTCAGGGAGATTGGGTAGGTTCGGATACCTCCTGAATAATTTCATGTTCCATTTTTCTCTTGCAGGCTGACCTACTTTGGGTATCATTTCCAGTTTGTGAAGAAGGGTTTCTATCCTTTGCACCATCAATGAGCTCCCATAGATTTTGAACTGGTGTGTGGCCTTGTCCACTATGATCATCATGGCTGCAAGCTGCATCTTCCTTAGGTGTATCTCAAGGTTCCTTTCTACCAGTGGTGATACTGGGATCTCCATTATCCATTGTGGAATGTGTAGAGAGCTCAATGTTTGAGGCTGGTAG